CTTAAATTTTTTCTTCAGTTCCCTCAGCTTGAGAAATGCTGAGCGTGTTCTTCCCTTTTGGTTTTCTCACTCCAGGTCTTTGCACATTTCGTTAATATTTGACTGTCTTCTCCAGCTGACCTTTGAAATTTTCTGTTTAACTCTCATACCTCCTCACTTCTTCTATTTGCTCTAGCATCTCCCCACTGGAGAGCAAGTTTCAGTCTCTTCTGACATCCATTTAGGTCTTTTCTTTCTTTCCTGTCGTCTTAGTGACCTTTTACTTTCTTCCTGTATGATGCTCGTGATGTCATCCCACAGCTCTTCTGGTCTTTAGTCATTAATATCTAATGCATCCAATCTGTTCTTGAGATGGCTTCTAAAATCAGGTGGGATATACTCGACGTATTTTGACTCTCATGGACTTGTCATTTTCTTCAGCTTCAGCCTGAACTTGCATGAGCCTCTGACCTTGTTTTTACTTTACAATCATCTCTTTCCACAGATGTAGTCAATTTGATTTGTGTGTATTCCAGCTGGTGAGGTCCATGTGGCCACTACTCACTCGTCTGTCAATTTGTCATCCTGTGGTGGCTTATGAGTTGCTGTGATTCTGGAAGCTATGGCACGGGTATTTCAAATACCAGCAGGGTCACCCAGGGTGGACAGGTTTCAGATGAGCTTTCAGACAAAGACAGACTAGGAAGAAGGAAAGAGAGACAGACTACTTCGGAATCTTTAGTCACTGGAAAACATTATGGAGAGCAGAGAAACACTGTCAGATAGCGTGCCGGAAAATGAGCCCCTCAGGTTGGAAGGCACTCAAAATACGACTGGGGAAGAGCTGCCGCCTCAAAGTCGAGTGGACCGTGATGACGCAAATAGAGTAAAGCCCCTGATGGGGCACAACACTACATGAGGAGAAAAAACTGTAACATCCATTAATAATCAGAACATGGAATGTACGAAGTAAGAATCTAGGAAAATTGGAAATGGTCAAAAATGAAATGGGTGACCCTAGTAGTGGTTACGAATCGGGCTGTGAACCTCATGGTCAGCAGTTCGAAACTACCAGCTGTTCCGTGGGAGAAAAATGAGGCTTTCTGCTCCCATAAATGTTTACAGCCTCGGAAACCCTGTACGGGGTCGCTATGAGTCGGAACCGACTCCATGGCACATAACCACTAACCACCACCACACTGGTATTTAAAATTCCCAGGGCAGAGCGTCCAGAATCACAGCACCAGACAAGCCACCACAGCATGACAAATTGCAGAGCGCGGCAGGAACAAGGCCTGGCCATGTATTTTATCTGTAACATTGAAGAGATGGTTCTTGTGAGGATAGATGATTCCAACTCTAATGTGTTATATAGAACTTGCGAAAGGCGTGGGCAATTCTTCTAATCATCGAAACTCTGTGTCTCTGTGTGTGTGTGTGTGTGTGTATGTGTGTGTGGCATGATCAGAGAAGATCAAAGGGCCAGTCCTACTCCCTACACATGGCAGAGGCCCTGCGCTGGTGTGGTGTGCCGGTGAGCCAGGGAGCGGCTGAGTGCCACAGGCCGAGTCTTGGAATGTGCTGTGAGTGAGCCAGGCTTCCTTTGCCCTCCAGGCTCTTCGGTAAAGGGCAGACTTTCTACATTTGATTGTAAATATAGAAGAAAACCCCCTTCTGCTCCTCAATGAGCACAATTGACAAGCACAGTGTCTCTGGTAGTGTAGTGGTTATGAATCGGCTGCGAACTGCAAGGTCAGCAGTTCGAAACTACCAGCTGTTCCGTGGGAGAAAGATGAGGCTTTCTGCTCCCGTAAAGATTTACAGCCTC